TCGAACGAGCATTCTCTGTCCACACCTAGAGTTCGTACCAGCGCTGTCCGTTCTTCGACCAACCTAATTGCATCCACTGTATCTAACGCCCGCTGTTCAACGTTATGGTTCTCACCGCTTCACCCTACAGGCCTAAGACTAGATCGCCATCCGTTCAAACCTATGAGTCTTAATGGTTTACGGTCCTTGTATTGTACCGCACTGTATGGGTGGCAACCCAAAATGGTGCGTTACGCTCGGGTTTGGTGCCGTGTTAGCAACCCGAACCGCATTATGCGTGACGGGTGATCAGTTAAGGAACCTAGGCGCCGCAGGCAAGCTAAAATTTGGGGGTATAAGAACTTTGAGTGAACACAGGATATCTAAGCACATTGAATACCAACGAACCTCCCTAGAAAAAATTGGCGAAAAACGACGGCAATTTTCTCAAAATTGAACTTCGATCCAATGCTAACAACCACTGGCACCCCCGTGTTATGCGTTACGTTCCCACCCTTAGCCAACATTTTAGGCGTACGTTATGCATTACGGTTGCCACCATACAGTGCAGTACAGTATTGTTGTTGAGGTATCGCTGAAGAACTGCATTACGTCAAAGACGGCACAAGTGATGCCGAAAAGGGAAGGGGAAGATGTACTTTCCGGGAGCCACCCAGGCCCACGTCAGTTAAAGACTTCACGCGTGCCCTATGAGTGTTCTATTACTTCTTCGGTATGACATGGCTATTGGCAGCAAGGTCGTCATACGAAGGTTGGAACGTTCGACGATGAATATCATTTCATCCGCCCGTATGGGGTTCAATTCTAATCCCACCGAGACCGCCAGACTAGTAGTTATTTGAGGTTGGATAGTCACGGTACTGTGTAGTACTGAGGCGTCGATGTTGTCGGCGTCCTTGTACAAAAATTCACATTCGTAATCAAGGTCAACAGCCCAGGAAAGAGGTTTGAGGACCATTTGGATATTGATAGTAGCATAGAGATGAGGAGGCTTCAAGCTTGAGAGGGTTTGAGTAGGAGCCAAGAAGTTTAACTTGGCTTTTATCAAGTGTTATAGCAATTACGTAATTTTACCATACATGATCTAATCGGTCTTTTCCGAATACCTTTTTAAATGAACCCAACTCTAGTTCCTCACCATGGCTAAAACTAACAGGACTGGAACCAACAGGACTGGCAGGCCTAGTGGCGCAATTGAGAGGCCAGAAAAACCTAGACCATCAAACAGTAAAGCCAACGCCGCTGGCTACGCTAAAAGGCACTCCAAAAAGGCTAAAACTCTCAACGGACTGAGTTCTGATGTCTATGAATATGCCCCCGAGCCAACTCGTCGGTCGAAAGTGGCTCTTGATCTGGATCGTGAAGAAGCTGCAGAGTATGGCGTTGGCTTGGACGGTGATAACGAAGCTCGGGAGGAATTGAGGGCTCGTTTGATCGGAGAGAACGGGGACGATGAGATGATAGACAGCGAGGACGACGAAGAAATTGACAGCGATGCCGCTTTCGAAGAGAGTGACGAGGAGCGTTTCGCTGGCTTCTTCTCAGCAAAAGTCAGTATCCTATTATATTTTGTAGCGCAGTTGTTAATTTTGAGCAGGACAAGCAGAAGGTTCGTACGAAGAAGAAGCCGATTGTGAAGTTTGCGGAGGTGGATTTAAACGAAGATGAAGAAATGGAACAGGATGAAGCAGGCGAGTCCTTGGACGGAGAAGAGGACGACGTTGAGGAGGAGGAAGAGGAAGGTGACCCTCACGAGTTTCTCGACGTCTTGGATGTTTTGGATGGGCGCGGAGAAGTGGACGGCGCCAGCGACAAGGAAGCTACTGCCAAGCTGGTCGAACGCAGCGGTGTAGCGCGGAGTTGGCCAAGTGCTTTCGACAAAGACGAAGACGATGCAGATGCGAATGTGGACGAGGATGCCATGCAGGAGGATGATTCTACCGGGGATGACTCTGAGGCCGAAGAAAATTCCAACTTCTCCCAGTCCGATGCTGAGGATGCTGAACCTGAAGCTCTAGACGAACTACAAAATTTCATCTCCACTCTCGACCCTACGGCTAAAAAGCGCAAGGTTGCTGATGGGGATGCTTCAATCTCGGCTGCTGAGAGGTCGCGAAAACAGCGTCGCTTGACTCTCAAGGAGCGTACAGAAGCAGGCGCTGAGAATGAATTCCGTGCTCAAACGTCTGGTACGTCGCTTTTGGTGCTCATTCATTCGTCATTTTATTCTAAGCTATCTTCAGGCTTAAAATTGAGCCTCGAGGACCTTCTTGCGCCATTAGCGTCCCAGTCTTCGACGCTGCAGTCACTCAAACAATCGACGAAGGTTCTGGGCTCATTATCCTCAAAAGTCAAGACTTTGCCAGCACCTCTACCACAGAGAGCACAAGAACGATTGGATCGGGAGGCTGCCTACGAGGAGACCAAGGAGGAGGTTGATAAATGGTCTGCCACTATGAAGAGGATTCGAGAGGTAGGAATGATTCCTGTCGAAGATATTTCTTCCCAACTGATCACACATACATGGTAGGCTGAGCACCTGAGCTTCCCCTTGCAAGCACCGACTACTGCCCGAGTTTCTAACCTCACCCTAGCCGCGAAATTCAAGGCAAGCACGGTCTTTCCTACCCTATTAACATTATTGAGTCCCTTCCATAGCCGACGACAGCTCTCGAGAGTTCAGTAGACGCGCTTCTCAGGTCCGCTAAGCTGCGAGAAGAAGACATCGAGCAGACTGAGGAGACGATGTTGAAGATGAACAAGCTCTCAGTAGAAGAAGTCGAGCAACGGCGCGGAGAGTTGCGGAAGATGCGGGAGCTCATGTTTCGAGCTGAGATCAAGGCGAGGCGCATTGGGAAGATCAAGAGTAAGACGTACCGCAAGATCAAGCGGAAGGAGCGAGAGAGGCTGGGCGAGAAGATGGAAGATGTGGAGGGAAGTGAAGGAGAGGAGGATAGAATGAAGAGGGAGGTGGAGCGGGCGAAAGAGAGGGCGACGCTCCGACACAAGCATACTGGAAAGTGGGCTAAGAAGATGCGTTCAAGAGAGGGAGAAGAGGGTAGGCAGGAGATCGAGGATATGCTTTCCCGTGGTGAAAAGCTCAGGAGGAGGATTAAGGGAGTGGGAAGTGATGATGAGAGCGACGAGGACGAGGGCGATGAAGACGAAGGGTTCGAAGACGATGCGGAAGGGGATAGCGGGCGAATAAAACAAGGCGCTTTTGACGAGCTCAAGAGGGTTGAGATGGAAGATGACAGCTTGGAGAACGAAGCTGGTGGAAAGAGCAAGAGCAAGAGCATCTTCCAAATGAAGTTTATGAAAGATGCCATGGCTCGGCAACAGCACTCTGTGGACAGGATGGCCGACGATTTCATCAAGGAAATGGGAGGACAGTCACTTCACACGGAAGATAGCGATTTTGAGGAGCCGCCCGACGTCGACCCCTCTAGTGGTGTCATTGCTCAGCGAACTGGTGGGCGGATATCGTATCACCCAGGCGCGCTCGTACGTCTAATTGCTTGTCTCATCACTCAACATTGTTGCTTATTGATACTTCACAGCCGAATAAGCACTCAACGATACCAACACGTCCTTTAGGCTCGCTAGCTTCAGACACATCTAGCGTCACCCTCAAATCCACGGACCTTCTTTCTCCACCCCAGTCGCCACTGAACCTCCAGCGCCCGAATGTCCCGCTGCCAGCAACATCTGACGCAAATCCTTGGCTCGCTCCCCAAAATTCGGAACCGACAGCTGTCAAAGCTCCGAAAAAGAACAACGAGGTAGTCGTGGGCAAAGACAGCACTGCCATGAGCAAGTCGAAGAACAAGCTCAAAAAGCTGGCGCGGAAGAGGGGCGACGAGAAGGCGAAGGCAATTGATGATGCTGTGGTCGAGATATCAGTTGACAACGTTCTAACGTTGATGAGCGCGCCCGTCCCTGCACAACCGACTACTACTCTCGTTACGAAAAAGAAAGCCGCCGTAGTCCCGGCTAGCGTGCTTTCTACATCTTCGGCTCCTGCACCATCAGAGGAAGCGGGCGACGGCGACGACACTGACAGTGAAATCGAAGCACAAGAGCAGATTTTAGACTTTAAAGGCAAAGGCAAGGCTAAACTTCCGCAGGCATTCAAGCAGCGGGATTTGGTAGCTCTCGCTTTTGCGGGTGACAATGTTGTTCATGTATGCTTTCTCGACTGACCACTCTGCTGGCGCTGCTGACTTCAAATTCTACAGGAATTCCAAGAGGCCAAAAAGCGCGAGATCGCCGCAGATGCGCCTCGGGAGGTCGATACGACGATACCAGGCTGGGTAAGGTCTGCCTCTAACCTGCTTGTGTGCCTTCTGACCTTGTGATTACAGGGTTCTTGGGGCGGTGCAGGAGTTCGTGCTGCACCACCGAAACCACAACGAATAAAGAAGATAGCTGGTATAGACCCCACCAATCGTGCGGATTACGGCAAAGCGCACGTCATCATTTCTGAAAAGCGGGACAAGAAGGCGGCGAAGTATCTCGTCAAGGATCTACCGTTCCCGTACACCAGCAAAGCCCAATTCGAGAAGGCCATGGAGCGACCTTTGGGTACGGAGTGGAATACGAGGGTTGCGTTCCAGAGAGGAACACTGCCTCGGGTTGTTAAGAAGGTACGCATAGTAATAGTAGTACTTGAGACCTTTACTGACATGGATTTCCGTGTGCAGCCTGGCATGATTATCAACCCACTCGAAAAACTAAACACGTCATAATACAGTGTTATGTAGTGACCTATCCATTGTTTTGCACGTTGGATCGGATGCTACAACAACGGAATGCATCGACGCCCTTTTCGGCTGTATCATGGTACAGACAACGTCCAGCACTCAAACTTTATTGTAGGCTCATGTAAACTTGAGCCATTGTTTTCAATGTTGAGTAAAGTCGGCGAGAGTCGAAGTCGTTTGGAACTTTTTGTTGCCAGAGATCAACCATATTGACGCAGTACTTAAGTCGTTACTACCGCCTCCTTGGCTCAGTTGGCTAGAGCGCAGGTCTCATAGTACATCTATGACAATGCTAGTCATTGGTAATCCTGAGGTCGCAAGTTCGAGCCTTGCAGGGGGCAACACATGTTCACTTTTTGATTAGGCGGAAAGTCGAATGTGGCGCAGTGTACTTATCAGTTTATGTTTGCAATGCCTCCTTGGCTCAGTTGGTTAGAGCGCAGGTCTCATAGTCCTTTCTATGACAACGCTCTCTGTTGGCAATCCTGAGGTCGCAAGTTCGAACCTTGCAGGGGGCACTGAAATGTTTTGAATATCTCGTTCCTAATACCTATGTCTAGGAGCGAGAACATTGTGGCGCGAGCCTGATTACTCGCTAAATTTCAAGGTACCAACTCAAAAGCAAATCACGACGGTCATGCGCATTGAATCACCATGCGTAGCACACTGTGTTTTTTCCTCTCCCATCGTTCGCTGGGACGTCGCTTGAGATATCAGGCTATAAGCCTAAGGTAAACTTGACGTCGACGTTCTGACATATCGTGTCAAGCGAATGGATGATTCTCGGCTCGGATATCCAGCGGATATCGGATATCTTTCCATTCGACGACCATCATTTGCCTTCATTTGCCCTTGCCAACTGAGTGCAGTGCTGCAGTTTTGCAAGCCAAAAGTCTGAGGTGATTGTGTCAAAGGGCAATCTGGGGGTCTGGAGTCCGCTTTCTATATGTTTTGGTGAGACCCAAATGAGTTTTACACATCAAGAACTTGTATCTGACGGTGGTGGATTCCCAGCTGCAGTGACCTGCAGACCTTGAAGCCCGGAATGCATGACGACCGCAAATGACGACACACTAAAGCTGTTAGTAATAACCATTTTCATCGCCAGCCATCAGATTCGCGTCTCCAGGGAGGACCCAATACGCCGCCTCCAATTTAAGCTGAGTCTCATTGTAATCTCATCACAGGGTCGCGGACTGCGCAGACCGCGTGATTAGCCACAGACACGAGCCCTCGGAGGAGTGAGGCCAAAAATCTTACCTCCCATTCATGTTGATCATGGCGGGCGTGCAAATGAGGAACAGTGCACCCTGCTGCGAAGCTGGAGATAACTGTTGAACGTTGAACTTTTGTTGAAAAGTTTTTTATGATGCCCCCGCAAGGCACCACCTTACCGCATCTGATGAAAAATTAAGGTGAGCCCCATTTATACAAGACTGGCCCCTCAACTCAGTCATTAAATTCAATTTTGATTGCATTTCACCAGCCCTTCCCCAACCCGCATCTTCTGAGGTGAACTTCACGAGACGGGCCAATCGCTCGTGCAATGTCGCTGCCCAATCGATTTGTTGTGCTGGACGATGCCGACGAACGAATACGGTATGAGGGCTCGGGATGGGTTCTGGACATAACCGGTAGCCAGGACGGATTTGGAACGTATGGGTCGACGTACAACCATACTCTTCACACAACGCAGGCCAATGATAGTCTTGCCCTTTCTTTCTCAGGTGTGTAGGCTTCTCTTTTTTTTCGAGCGTTCGGTAATAGAACTTGTGGCGCGCACTTAGGAAGCTCCCTCCGGGTGTATGGAACTATCAACTTGTCGTCGGCATATAACAGCACCGTCTTATTGGACCCCAATTTCAAACCGCCCTGGGAGTGCTTCATTGATAATATCAGCATCGGGAGTTCTACTATTTCGCCCTACCACGAAAATAATTGGCTCTTTTGCAAAAACGATCACTTGAATGATGGTTCCCATGAACTTACGCTGAAGCTCAGCATGAAGCAGGGAACGACATTTTGGGTCGACTACATCCAATATTCCCCCACACAAAATCCTATCGATGGCTCAATTGTCCTAGTTGACAACATGGATCCCGCCCTGTCCTATGATTCTTCATGGCAAGGGGTCGATTCTTTGGCAAACATGACAAATACCCAAGGAGGACAAGTTACTTTCAACTTTACTGGTACGGATCTCGAACGATACATATTTTTCTTGGCTCAAATCGACACAATAGGTACTCAGCTCTCATGGATGGGTTACATACCCGTCAGTTATCCGGGTAACAGAAGCTCGGCGTCATACTCCATCGACAACGGCACACCGACGTCATTTGACCTGGTTGGTCATGCAACAAGCGATGGAACGTCGATCTTCAACCCAATATTCTTCACAACCCCGGAGCTTGCCCCCGGGTCGCATCGGATAGTGGTTACATATAATGGCAACCCCCAACGCACACCTCTCACCCTCGACTATCTTTACCTCACAACTGCCACCACCGGAAACAGCACCTCTTCTTCTTCCAACGGTCACCACAAGGCTCCCGTCGGAGCTATTGCCGGTGGCGTCGTTGGTGGAATTGCAGTTATCGTCCTTTTGCTTGGTTTTCTCTGGTGGAGAAGACGAACAAACCAATCATCCAATGCCCCACCCAGCAGCCCCCCACATAACGCGGTAATTTCACCTTTCTCGCCACCCATGGTGCAGCCGTTCCAGGCATCATCCACGGGGCTTCTATCATCCGAATCACTTGCTCGCACCCAGAGTGATCCAGATTTTGACCACGCGACATCCGATAGGTCGTTGTCTCCGCAGGCCCGGGGCTACATATCTGGGGCGTTGGCACAAACTGGCGACTTCAAGAAGGTGGGCGGGCATGCTGTCCGGACGCAGCAGTCCTTCAACGCCCTCGGGCCACAAGCAGGCCGCCCATACCCTCCCGACGAGGTTCAGCCCCCTCAGTATTCTGTATGATTGGCCAAGATTGGCTATAGTGGAGGATTTTATTTTATGTTTGTGTTTCTACTAGTTGTAGAGGCCATCGTATGCCTCGAGTGGCCTTCCTGAAGTTATTACCTTAATATTGTACAATATATAACCAAATATATAAATAAATTGTTTAGAAACTTCGGTGGACGCGACGATATTCCCACGACCACTTATCCCCTCCTCCACGTTAATATCGAATTGCGCAGTGCTCGTCGTTGCCCACGATGGCCTCGTCAGATTCCTCATGCTATACCATTGTCCTCGAGTCCAGTGCAGAGTACCCGTCGACCGCTGAACTGCGCTCTGGCCTAGAGAAGGGTTCGGACGAAGTTAAACTAGACACGTTGCGCAAAATCGTGATTTCTACAATCAATGGAAACCCTCAGGTGGGCCTTCTATGGCTGTTGTTCGTGTAAAATTGCTCACTGTAGTGTTGGGCGATGAATAGCCCGCGCTGATGATGCCGATCATCCAATACGTCTTACCTTCGCGTAATAAACAGCTGAAGAAGTTACTACATTTCTATTGGGAGGTGTGCCCGAAATACGACGAGAATGGGAAGCTCAAGCAGGAGATGATCCTTGTTGTGTATGTTCTCTTTAGTATCTTGGTGGTATGGAATGACTTACATCTTGCGCTTAAAGTAATGCTATCCGTAATGACCTGGTGAGTTGTAGTCTTACAGTTTGGAGTCAATCTAACAACTTGTAAATCTATTAGCAACATCCCAACGAATACATTCGCGGCGCCACTCTGCGCTTCCTTCAGAAAATTGCTAAAGATGCCGAACTTCTGGAACCCCTCGTCCCGACATGTCGATCGTGTCTGGAACACCGACACTCCTACGTTCGGAAGAACGCTGTCTTCGCCATATTCTCCATCTACCGCGAATTCGAACATCTCATCCCCGATGCGCCGGAGCTCATGTACACGTTCCTCGTTGCTGAATCCGACTCGACATGCAAACGCAACGCGTTCGTGTTCCTTGCTCAGTGTGCGATGCCGAAAGCAGTGGAATTCATCCTCAGCATCTACGATACGATACCTTCGTTAGAGGAGTCACTGCAAATGAGCATTATCGAGGTCATTCGTTTGGATTGCAAGAGTGACTCAGCACACAGGGTATGTCATATTCCTCTTGAAAACTCGTACTAAACCCCATTGAACTCCACACAGTCACGATACATCCGGTGCATCTTTGAGCTCCTTGAAACCTCCTCTCATGCCGTGAAATACGAGGCTGCGACGACGCTGACGACACTAACCCAAAACCCCGCCGCCATCAAAGGTATGAGGCAATGCCTTTTCTAACGCTGTCTCCCAATCATCTTTTCGCAGCTGCCGCCGCTTGCTTCGTCAATCTGGTAATCAAGGAATCGGACAACAACGTTAAGCTAATCGTTCTGGACCGGTTGGACACCCTCCGATCGAAACATGGCCATATTCTGGACAGCCTCATAATGGACGTCCTCCTGATTTTGTCAAGGTATTTGATTCAGTTGATCTCGAGTGCAAGGGCTGATGTCACGATTTCAGTGCTGACATGGAGGTCCGCCGGAAGGCCATTGCGATTGTGCTGAGCATGACGTCAAGTCGAAATGTGGAGGAAGTCGTCTTATTCCTCAAGAAACAACTGCAAAAGACGCAAGAGGCCGATTTTGAAAAGGTAGATCTAAATGAGTTATCATGATGAAAACAATTGTTAACAACCATCGTAGGCACCGGAATACCGACAGCTATTGATTCAGTCCATCCATGTCACCGCCATCAAGTTCTCTGAGGTTGCAGCTAGCGTCGTCCATGCCTTGATGGAGTTCCTTGGTGACTCCAACAACCCTTCCGCTCTCGATGTGGTCTCCTTTGTCCGGTACGTATCCTTTACTTTTGTCTTCCCAGAACTCTATCTGAATCCACAACCAGCGAGGTTGTTGAGAAATTCCCCCACCTCCGCGCGACTATCACCGAGAAACTCATCTCCACCCTTCCCGAAATTAAGTCCGGCAAAGTCTTCCGTGGTGTCCTTTGGATCCTTGGCGAGTACGTCGAGAACGTCCCCGATATCCAGAGTGCCATGCGCGAGATCCGCCGTGTACTCGGCGAGATCCCGATACTTGCGTCTGAGCAGCGATTGCTCGACGCTGCGGCGGGCGAGGAGGGCGCTACAGAGGAGGGCGAGGACAAGGAGAAGGAAAAGGATAAAGCAGTGAACCGGCCGCGAGTTTTGGCGGATGGAACTTATGCGACGGAGACGGCGTACTCGAGCACGACTGCTGCCCGGCTCGAGGCGGTGAAGTCTGCATCGAAGCCGCCACTGAGGACATTGCTCCTTGGTGGGGACTTCTTCACTGGCGCGGTGCTGGCAGCTGCGCTTACGAAGTTGGTCCTCCGTTTCGCTGAAAAGTCGTCCGATGTTGTTGCTGTGAATACTCTACGGGCTGAGGTACGAATTCCGTCACTCGAGAAAGTATCATGTCTTGATTCATTACTCCCCTTGTACAGGCTATGTTGATCATGACATCA